AAATGAATGCCCACCCCCAGTGCAACAGTCAATTCCCTTTCAAAACATTTTCTTATTGTTACGTAAACAGCCTAAGTGGATTTGTTAGAGATAATCACTAATATTCTCTTAACCTAGTGACTTGGGAAGGATAAATGGGGATGGGAATTATTAAGAGCAGATAGACAGGTAGTGAGGAAAGGGATAGTTTACATTAAAAAACCAAATGTATTTTTTATTGAACAGAGACTAAGTATTGCTTTACACACTGGATCCTGTTTCTAATTCTATTATTCTGGTTACTAAGTGAACAGATGATTTCTCAGGGTCTCAAAATATTCTTTTTGGGGGGAAGGGATATGGGGGAATATGGAATTTAACCCAGGGTTCTCTACCACTGAGCTACATTCCTAGCCCTTTTTAATTTTTATTTTGAGGCAGGCTGAAACTGGCCTCAAATTTGCAATTCTCCTGGCTCAGCCTCCCACCACACTTAGCTCACAACACCTTTTGCACCTTAAAAGTAATTGTGGAGAAAAACACATTTCTAAGTTATAATCTCATTTAAATTTTAAATATATAATTTTCAGATGTGAGGGTATTTTCCCTTTTAGTACATTCTCACCACATTTTAATTTGCTAGCCTTTTTTTACAGAATGAGAACTAAGGATTTTGCTCTGGATCAAACTGATTCGCAAAGGAATATAAGACCTTATCTAGCTAGGAACTCATAAAATGGCAAAGTATATCTGATTTCAGAGTTGGATGGCAGATATATTTGTTTCTGGTTTGAAACACCATGAGATTTGGTGTTTCAAACTCAAGGAATAGGATGAACTCCCCAGGTTAAAAAGGGTCTAGGCAGGATACGCCACGATTCTGCCGCTCTTTTAACCACCTGGAAAACTCAGGGATTGGCACTATTCGCGATCAAAGTTCACTTGGAGTTCCAAGTTCCACCCTTTCAAAAAAATTTCATGTTTAACAAGTACTACAAGTTAAAAAACAAGAGAGAAAGGAAGAACAAAGCCAGTCTGAAAGAGGGCATCGCTCTAACAAACCCACAGAATTTTTAATTCTGGCCAAGATCCTACTGTTTGTTTTGCCTCTGACCTGCTAGGAGACCTTTAGCCACCAGCAGAACAGCTTGGTGACTTAGTTTACCTCTCCATGAAAACATTTGCCTACTCCTTGAGGTTGTGAAATGAAAAGTCCGCAGGGTTTTATAAACTTCCATGTTTGCATAATCTTTTCTCTAGCATTTAGTTTGTTGAGCTAATCCAGATGGGGACATGCAGCAAAACCAGAATTCAAATGAACCAGGTGGAAGCAACTCACCATTATTGTGTTATGAAGGAGGCTGCACCAAACTAAGTGATATTAGCAAAGAATAGCTTGCACCACTTTTCTGAAATGCCGCAGTTTTTGGTGGGAATCTTTGTTTGTTATTCTTGTTGAGTGAATCCTTACCAGAATACACTTGGGAGAATAAATGTGAGACAAAGCAGGTTTAGTTTTAATTTTTCTTATAATCTGATTAGAGGAAATAGTTTGAATCCAAAAGGATGTCACTGAGTGCAAACGCAATCCTGGAACCGGGCCGGCTGGGCGTAAATCTCAGGGGTTATTAATCTACAACCTTCAATTTGTAAATATGAAGGAGACTGAGTCAGTAGAAAAAAAATAATTTTCAACATCTGTGGTATTCTTTCTGTTCCAGATTAATTACACTGCTTGTTTGTTGATACTGACCAGAATTTTCAATCCTCTGATGCTATGCTTAGAACGCCATAAGTATTTTTCTGCATGTTTATCACTTATGTCCCATGCAACTTTATCTCTGTCACAGTCTGTCTTTCTTAATTTATTTTGGGTCCCAATTTTGATCTTGTGCTAGCCTGTCTTAGATTTCTTGGTTTTCCTGTGATACTGAACAAGGTGTATCTCTTTTTCTTCAGTATTTATATTACTTTCGAGATACCTTCTTAATGCATAATCCCTGCACACACACACACACACACACACACATCATTCAATCAAAATGATGATATAAATGAAAATCTAAATGTGCTGTTTAATCATCTGGAGAGGTTGATAATTATTTTCAATCAGCTAGGATTGCTCTGCTAGTTCAAAGAATTATTAATGAGAGCCAAATTTGCTAATAAATTGCGAGCAGCCCTTTTCTGTGAGGGCAGATATCAAGGAAAGCCATTCCAGAAGATGCTATCTGGCCTTTACATCATACCTAATGAAGCCCATAGCCTCCCTCTGAGTGAGCCAAGAAACTGGCTGCTAAAATCTCTATCCTAAAATCCAAAAAGATACCTTTTCTTTAAGCTGGATTCTTGGCAGCTCTAAAGAGAGGGGAACCACCAAGCTACTCCTTCCTAAAACGGCCCAATTTGAAAGTGGGAAACGTGCCAGATCTCTGCAACAGGCAAAGCAGCTTGATCTCAGGAATAGGATGAACTCCCCAGGTTAAAAAGGGTCTAGGCAGGATACGCCATCCCCAACCCAGTCAGTCCCGGGGTCACTGTCCCTTCTTTTGTTCCTCCAACTCCACTCCTCACCATTGTCCTCCTGTGGCCCCCAAATGGCCAGAGAGCTGCTGTTTGGGGATCTTCATTCCCTTCCCTTTCCTGGCCCCAAGAACTTTCTCTCAAAGTCCAGCTGCTTCCGTGGTCTTTTCCTTTCTGCCAAATGCCAGCAAGGTCGGCCAGCTTTGGCTTTCATTTTAACTTTGCTGCAATCTACTTCATTCCCTGGAGTCTTCTCTCTCCAGGCAGAAGAGGGTGAGGCACACTCTATGCCACAGCTCACTTCCTTCCTCCTCTGCATGATAAGCGCATGGAGAGCTTGTTTTGTTTTGTGGGTTTTTCTGAGAATTGCCAAGGAGAAAAATAACTAAATAATTCATGTGGAAGAGATGTGACTGTACCAGAACCCTTATGTGATTGCTAGATTCAACAATGAACTTTTATTGATCACTTCCTACACTTCCATCACCACCCTCCGATCTCAGTTATTGTTCCCGAGCTACACTTCTTGGATGATTTTGGAAACGCCATTGGCCACTCTGTCCTTGGCAAACAGCTCACTAATCTCTTCTGTCAATAAGGAGGACAAAATAAAGAGCAGACAGTGCTCTCTCCTTGGCTAATTTGTATTTCTCTACAATACATATGGGTAGCATATGTATTAAAGTTCTTCTACCTATATAGACATCAAGATATCATAAATTGAATTACGATACACACACACAATCTAAACATAATAGAATTATTTGACATTGAGGTTATCTTGAAACTTCAGTTTTTGCTCAGTTTCCCATGCTCACTCTACCTGCTGAGGGTTTCCTGCTGGAATCTGATAATTTAGCATGTATCTAGTGATGTGCTCCTAAAGCCACTCTCTGACAAGAAAAAAATAAACACACAAACAGAAAAGCCCTGATCCATAGCTTTTGCTGATTTCTGTGATGTAGATGGCTCCACCATGGTCAATTTCCTTAGTGGAATGATTAACAACCCACTGGCAAGAGCTTTTGCAAGCCAGTTGAGTCAGTTCTAGCAAACCACTCATCTTCCCAGTCTTTCCCCTTACCATGTTACCAAGTCCTTGTTCTCCAAGGTACTGCTTTAGGATTTGGTTTCACTTGGAAAGCCAATTATATTGGAAAATCAACATAGTAAGCAAATTCCAGTTATGTTAATGACTGAATGAAAAATGCCGGACATGTTGAGCCTGCCAGGGGTATCTGCCTGGTAAAGGTCCTCCACTCAGTGGAAGAAATTCAGTATCAAAACTGCAGGTGGCCTCTAAGACTAAGGGCATACTCCTCAGTGACAGTGCCAAGAGAGACAGGAGAAAGGACAGGCCAAATGCCAGTAGCACACAAAGTCACTGAGAGCATGGAGTCTTGAGTGAGGGTGCCAGGTTTGTGATATTAGACAGGTTACTTAACCTCTCTGAACTTTAGGTCTTCATTTGTAAAATGGGGATATTTATATGGTATTTCATGAAATCTAAGCTGTTCTCTATTGTCAAACATACCATTATTTTACGTTCCATGAAGAAATTTTAGAATGCTGCCAATTAAACTATGACACACCATCAAAAGTAAAACTCATTCCATTTTCACAAAAACTAAAGGGTGAAAGAAAATATATTTTAGTGTCACTGAATTATGGTACTTATCCCACATATGGTTGTTCAAAAGTACAAATGTAAAGTGCTTGGAACAGAGCTGGCACACTGGAGAAGTGATGGAAGATTTTGCTATTATAATATTGTTATTATTACCAAGAGATTAAGGAAGAAAAAAAAAGCAGAGTATCTGATTCAAAAATTAAATGTTCAGATTTCCTCCTAAGACCTATGTGTAAACTCAAGTGGTTCTAAACTAACATTTTTCAAGCTATTTTTCTGATAACTGCATGAGCCTCAGAGACTGCGGTACAAGTAAAGTAGAAATGAGGATATGAGTGAGGTGAAGGCCAACCACATAAAATTCTGTCACCTCATCCAGAACCAACCAAACCAGCTCCATTTTTATCAACTGAGAGCCCTGGAATTTGATGTAATATTTCATTTTAATTGTGTTCTTGTGCTTAAAACATGTATGTAGTAAGCTGGACCCAACCAGCCTTTACAAAACACTTGTACCAGGTAGAGAGACAGCTTGGCATCACCACAGGAATGCTCTTTCCTAGTGGTAAGTTAATTCTCACTCAAAGTCACAGACCCCAGAATTCCATGCTCTTCTTGGTCATTGGGTGTGAATAGCTTCCTTCTCTTCCCTCTGGCATCTGGCAGCTGTGCTGTTGTCCCTGACAATGCCCTCTGCCAGACCATGTCTGTCACCTTTAGGACATTTCTGTCTTCACTGGAGCTGTTCAGATTTCAAGTCCAGTTGGCAACAAGTGTGGCAAGATCTTTAAATGCAATAGCAAAGTTTATACCCTAAATGTTTGTCCAGCAGTTCCCTTGGCAACAGTGCTCATTTCTGACGACTCACCTTGGTTACACTCTCCCAGAGATATCATTTGTCACACCCGTTCCCAAAACAGCTCAGGTGCCTCTCAGAACCCAACATTCCAAGCAGGAGCTAAAGTTAAAAACATAACACATTTTTAATAGAGTTTTAAAATCTGCTTAAGAGTAGTTATTAGCCCCTCTGGAGATCCAGGTCAATGAAAAAATATAGGGAAAATAAGAAAATACAAAATGGTGCTGCACTGTGATTCCAACTATATAACAAGTGGATATGAATATGAAGCATACCATTTGAGTGGGCACAGTGTCACATGCCTGTAATCTCATCAACTTGGGAGGCCAAGGCAGGAGGATCTCAAGTTCAAGGCCAGACTTACAACTTAGTGAGACCTTGTCTCAAAATAAAAAAATTAAAAGGATGGGGATGTAACTCAGTGGTAACGCATCCCTGGGTTCAATCCCCAATACATCCTCCCCTCAAAAAAAAAAAAAAAAAAACAAGAAAGGAATACTATCTGAAAATGAAAATAGTTACATTGTGCTATTATAAAAAATGGAAATTAAAAATAATTTTATGTTCTTGTTTGATATTATTATATTTGTTTTTATTTAAAATGTCAAAATACCTCTCATGTTTTCTTCATTCAACAAACATTTATTATACACATAATTTGTGTTTACCTTTATTTACTCCACCCTACCCTCATTTTTTTTTCACCTCTTTTATGTCCTCGGGTGTTTAATCAGTCCATTTATATCTGCACCTGTGTGCACATGCTTGCCCTCTCTAATCAAACTCTTTGATGACTAAGGACTGTTTTTGCCCTGTAAGCCTTAGCTACTCCCCTTCTGTGGATAATATACTTGAGTTACATAAAACAATCTCAAGTTTGCATGTTCAATTTATGTACCAGATAAATTACAGGAATGGTACTTCACACCTTCCCCAACTAGGGTTGGTGGTTCCCAAGACATTATAAGTAACATCTGAAGTCCAAGCCACTGTTTTGAAAGGGATGCTAGAATTCATTTAGGATAAGTATAGGTATATCGAGCAAGGATTAATTAGAGAAGCAAAACCCCCTTGAGTAATATAAAATAAGGATTCATTATGGGGCTAGAACTTATGGTTTCCATGACTAGTACTAGGCATGAACTTGCTCTGGGCCTGAGCCAGCAGTAAGGAAGGAAAGCAGGACATGAAGTAGAAGAGAACAAGGAAAAGACAAATTGGTGATGTGGTCATCACCTTCAGCCTCAATGATCAGATACCTTTATGGTAAAGTCAACATACTTTACCATGGTGTTGTATCTATATCTGTCTCAGGACTCTGAGAAGTCAAAGGAGGATCTTGTGGTTGCTGGAGAAACTATAATCCACCAGGTGAGATAGCAGATTAACATTAACATATGTGACTCGCCATTGCCCTAGAGCTTCATGCCTACCTTTAGAGGGAAAAATATGGCTGCTGCTTCACCTTCACCTTCCAGATCTTGTTCAAGTCTCTCATGCCCAGACATTACCTGAAGCCATACAGAAAAAGACACTCTGAGAAATTGATTTCCACTTTAGCTAAACAGACCCAGTACAAAGTCACACAAACAGAACCCTCCACCTCTCTCACTGGAGTAAGTTTGTAGAAACAACTGTACACATTCTACATGACATTTAATCCTAGGCTTGGCACCAAATCTTAAGCTTCCATAATTTCTACTTGACTTTTTTAAGGGTTTCATTCGTGTGTGTAAAATAAGGGGTGAGTCAGCCCAACAGGAGATGCTTACAGAAAAAGGATGAAAATTAAGAATCAGAACTGGAAACTACTTGAAATTATATAAATGTTCATGTATTTTATTGAATAAAAAATAACTGCTAGTAATGTAGAGGGGAATTTTCCAAATTTCTAATCTTTTCTGTCCCTGCAAAATAAAAAAAAAAAAAAGATGAAAGTATGGGGGAAGGAGTAGGATGCTCTGTGCCTAAAGGAGTCATTTATGTGTTCACTAATAAAAAGCAGCCAGACATTCAGAGTATCTAACGGCTCCCTGCTTGGACCAGCCACCATGGTAATACAGTGTTCTACCTGAGGATTGTCGTAAGAGAGATCAGGACAAGGGTCAGAATCAGTTTTCAGCGTGTTTGGATAGAGAGTCACTATGCAGCAGCGTTACATCTATGCAAAATGCTGGCCACTGTACCCAAGTCTGGGCATGACCAAGGGCAGGTGGAGGACACTGATACAAGGAATATTCTCTCAGAAATAAGACAGCCCCTGGAAACCCCACTTGTAAAGTATACTTGAGATTCTTAGATTAAAATATATATATATATATATATATATATATATATATATATATATATGTACAGATATCCATCAAAAAGTCAGAAAACAGTCACTAAAAACATCATCATCTCACTTACTGTCATCATCATCATGACTCCTCCTACCTGCACAATCTGCAAATAGCAGGACTTTATCCCTACACATAGATATGGAGTCCAGCCAAATACCTTTGTGGCCTAGAGCAACTACAGATCATGGACTCAGTCAACAGAAGTTGAGTGATTGGATGAAAGCCAGAAAATTCTCTACTTTTATTTCTCCCACTCTCTGGAATAAGAACACCATGCTGCATTGGCACATAATGATCTTTAGCACTGTGCTTCTTCCTTTTCCAAAGGCAGGCTGAACATCCTTATTTTGGAAACAAGACATTTTTTACATTCACGAGTTGGGTTGGGTTTTGTTTTGCTGGTGTTGTTCCTGGTGTAATGATTATTCACATACACCTGACTAACCACCTGTCAAATTAAAAGTCAAAGGCCTCCCATCAGGAATTTTGTGGATTTATTTTCTCTGCATGGCGGCCTCATCAGGAATGACCCGTGAGAACCAGCTGGATGACCACAGCTGACTCATGCTCCATGGTCTACTACATTTGAGTCCAGGTGGGTCCCAGGGAACTCTAATCCCCTTATGTGGTATTTGGATGAACTAAGTTGAAAGAATGGTGTCCTTCCCTCCTCTTATTTGGAGGAGGGAATATCACAATAACTTCCATCCTACTGATTCCAGTAAGATTTATGTAACTGTAGTCGCTCTTATTCTGAAGCACCTGGTCAGAAACTTGAACTACTATGGGTCACACATTTTCTTATGCAAGTTAGCTGGTAATGCCAAAAATATGCCTTTATAATAGATTTTTACCAGGAATAAAGAAATATAATCAAGTAAGAGGAACCACATTGAAACCTTCATGAAAGCTCTGGTGAAAGCATTTGGTTTCACAGCCATTTCTCTAGGGTGAACCAATAAGTATTAAATGTATGCATGTTAAGTGGTAACGATTCTTCAAGTTAAGTGAAAACTCCAGTCATTTCAATATTTCACCAACCTACAAGCAGTTCAATTTTAAATTCATCTAATTTTTATTAATAATCATGATAGTGTATTAAATCATGCTCATCAGTACAAAATAGAGCCTTTTAGCTCATCAGTATTTTGTACATTTATAAATTTTATAAAGTATAAGTACCCATTTCATAGCTACTATGCTTACAACAAAATAAAATTTTATTTTGGAAAAAATTTATTTGATTATTGGTCCTTTTCCCTAACTCATAATTCTCTTTCAAAAAAGATCACCTTCTTTTAATAATAAAACATAAATATGAAGAATTTAAAAATATGTATATGAAAATGGATTACATCTACATTTATTAAATATAGTAAAAATGTAACATCTACCATCACTAAGAACTTGCTATAATGCCATATGCTTCACTAAGCACATTATGTGAGGGGTCTCTCAATCCTCCTAGCACTAATAGGTGTAAATACTGTTAGCATTAGACTCATTTCATAAACAAATAACATAAGGTGTAGAGAGGTCAAGTAGATATATAAGGCTACTCAGATGGTAAGTGACACAACTGGGGTTTCAGTCACAGTCCTTCTAATCCTAAAGTGTGAGCTCTGGCCTCATGAATGAATGACCTTTAACCTCAGAAGGGGTTGGTAACAGATCACTCAGAGAAGGTGATTAAAGATCCTCTCCCCAAGAGTATCCCTGTCCCCAACACACACACACACCCTTTTACCACACCGTTTTGAAGGGTTTCCTGACGTCCCTGAAAGACTCAGGGTTTCCTTGGGGTTCATAAACCCTAAATTATGGAACGCCAATGTAGATATTTCCTTAAGTATCAAAGTGTGGGGGTTTGATTGTTGACTCTCCGAGGAGCTGTGCTATGCAAATGAAAATGTTACAAGAATGTGGAGAAAGAGTGACCCAGATACTAGGACACCTGGATGCCTTGCCTATGGACAGAGCCAGTGAGTCAGAAAATAAGGGGCCCTGCCCTATGGTGTCACATTAGCCTCTTTCAATTACCATAAGAAACAAGGAAGGTATGGCTGTTGTATGGAAAGAACCTCAGAGGAAGAAGAACAGGAACCGAGATAGGACCAGACCTCTCTGGATGATGATGCTGGATCAGAAGATTATGGATCAGAAGATTGTACTGGTTCGGACACAACTCTCCAGATATGGTACCAGGACCATGTGTGACCCCTGTGATCTATCTTTGCTTGTCCACTCTGTTGTCTTCTTTCTGACCTACTTATTCTGACTCCAGATTGGATTTCTCATACCTCAGGGGCTCTTCTGTGTAAGCGCTATCTCCAAACTTTTACAAACTCAGATTCTACTAAAGAGCACTACTTTTTCAGAACTTCAGTTACCATGACTCCCCACATCTCTTACTTTACCTCAGAGCTTCTCTCTTGTGTTTTTTCAGCTACGGTTTCCTCCATAAACTAATGGAGTTAATTGCCTCATTCTCAGCATTTCCCAGTTCAAAAGCCTGATTATAGCTATAGCTATGTTTTCTGCATTAGATCAAGCTGCAGGATTTTCACCAGCTTATCATTTGGCTATGTTTAGATGCCACCTTTAGTCCAGACAGAGGTAACTGGTGGCAGAGAGAGGTGTTTGTTTGTTTGTTCCTGTGGAACTGAACATGTCCCTATGCTAGACTGGCCTGAGGTACTTTCCTCATTAGCAGAAGTGGGTCAGGGAATTTCCTATAGACAGGTACAGTGATAAAATTACTGGCAGAGACCCTTGGGATAGGCTGGCTATGGGAGATTTCTGTACCACCTCACATACTTAAAACTGGTTCCATCTAGTGTCAGGTCCCCCACAATCAACTGGGTGTATTTAGGTGGGAACTAAGTGGCAGTAGGAATCCTCACTACTGATGAAAGGCCAAGAATTGAGGAAACACCTGAATCTGAGACAAGCCAGATGTGCCCAACAGTGGCCTGCCATTTAAGATGTCTGTGCCAAAGGATTTTTGTGTCAAGTTTCAGAATACACCATTTCACTGGTTGCTCACTGAGCCTTTTAAGGATGAAGCGGCTTAAAGGGCACTGTAACACAAGCACTATGACAGAATTACAGAGTAAAACGGAACTTCAAACATCATGTAATCCACCCATACATGTTGTGGAGAGGGAGAGAGAACCTGAGAGTAGCTAAGTGCTAAAAGGGAAGTACACAGAGAGTCGTCAGCAGACCCCAATTTTCTGTCCATTTCTTTCTTCATCAGCCACATTTGCTCTTTTTTCCCTTGCTGTCATTGAGTGCTGCCATTTTCTAGCAAAACAGAAAAAAGAGGAAATCCTGGAAAGCAATATCTCATGCTATCAATGTTTAATTCCAATGTGTGAGTATCTGCAGGGTCTCTCCAAGCATAACATATGATTTTTTGGAAATAATCCTAGATCATAGACATCCTGTGTCACTCAATTATGTGCATTAACCACCAGTCCTTCACCTGAACAGTGGACTCATCACGCATCCTTCATTTATCTAGCAAACATTAACTGAACATCTGCTTTCTTTTAGGCTCTGAATGATGTATAACAAGTCTCATCCCTCAAAGAGCTTTTATACTCTAGTAGGGGGTGTATGTGCTACACCCAAGGGATTATGGAGATAAAGAACGAAGAAACAGCCAGGCATGGTGGCACACACCTGTAATCCCAGCAGCTCAGAAGGCTGAGGCAGGAGGATCAAAAGTTCAAGGTCAGCCTCAGCAACTTAGGGAAGACCGAAGCAACTTAGTGAAACCCTGTCTCAAAATAAAAAAAAATAAAAAGGGCTGAGGATGTGATGTGGCTCAGTGGTCAAGCATCTTTGTTTTCAATCCCCAGTACTGAGGGGGGCGGGGAGAGAGGAAGGAGAAGGAGAAGGAAACTAGCAGTACACCTAAAATACAGAGGTCAATGGGAAGATAGAGTGGGACTGGCAAAAGATGAGGCTAGTTACCAAAGAACATCACAAACCCTTCCCTCTGTCTATACCGGCTCCCTGTTGTCTATGGAAAGAGGAAGAGGATGGCAAGCTCACTGCAGAGGCAGAGAGTATGTACATAAGGATATAGTGTGTGTGTGTGTGTGTGTGTGTGTGTGTGTGTGTGCATTCTAAGGACCATAAAGCTCATCTCAGCCTTGGCA